AAAAAAAAAAAAAATGTGCAAAGCTATAGAGAGCTTAATTTTCAAAGATGTCATGTAGGAAGTACCAAAAAAGAACTTAATAAAGATTTGGGCAAATTTATGGGTGATACCATAAATTACCTGAAAGAGGATGGATGTAGAATATACTTGACATAAAATCGACATCAGAGAAGATATAACTGAAGGCTTATACAGAGTAGATACAAGGACTGACTTTTGGTAATGGAACCAATGGTATATGCCCATGTACCTTAGCAAGCAAGCACTGTCATTTCTATACAATATAAAAGACTTACTTAGAAGCAGAGTATCAGACAATCATTAAACTGGAGCAAGACATTTAAGATACCACACAGGCAAACTCTTTTCTAAAGCTGAAGAGGCATGCATAACTCAACAAAAAAGAGCCCCAGCCCGGCACCAGCTAATACATTTTAATGGATGGCAACTGAAAGACCAAATACTTAGGTCATCAAGATGCATGTCCAGTGTCCAGAAGGTAAATGAGGGGGGTCAAAAGTTTATTTCGCTTGCCTAAAAGGGATGCTAAACTAAAGCAAAACAAGAAGCCACACTTTGCCTTATGTATCAGTATGATTAGAGCACGCACTGCCCTTTCTGGACTGCTCCAAAGAGTCTGTCATCAGTCGGTGGTTCCATTTCTTTTAAGCAAAACAAGGTCTCCCTTTTCCTTTCAGCTTCAGAAACTACAGTTCTCTTTATAAACTACACAAATACCTCATGACGGATCTTTCAACAAGTGCTGGCAGTTTCTTCAAAAAAGTATTATCTGTCCCCCAAAATAATCACCTTTTTAACCCTAAATGTTCATACTCACACAACCATGGAAGCTCTTGATACTTTTAAGGTAGACCTTGAACACCAAAATCAAGCTTCAAATTCAACAGTTCTTTTATCCTCAATGATTCCAAATCACAATTAAAAAAATAAAAAGCGTGGTTCTTTGCTTTCAATCAATATAATCCCAAGAGTCCAAGTATCCAAACATTCACATAAAATATTTTAACTTTATGTATTTAGAAGAGATAAGCTGATCCAGGAAGGTGATCAATAAGATTGATCTCAGTAAGATGACAGGGCATGTACTTACAACTGACATTCGTCACCAAATGAGGGGCTTCATACTTTAGGATGCCGCAAACTCCCAGAGTAGAAATTAGCACCATTATTCATTAACAAAGCAGCATTTTTTCTTTTAATAACGGTTCACCTAGATATTCTACATTGTTACAATGTAAAAAAAAAACACATAAGAGTATTCTAAATGCTCAATTTAAAGTCAAATGGATGATTATAATTAAAG